CTGAGGTAGGGGTGGATTATATGTTGATCATTGAGATTGGTTCCCCCTTTCTCCCTCTTCTCCCCCCACCTTCCACCTACCCTCCTGGTATCGCTACTCCCAATACTGTTTCTTAAGGGGTTATCTGTCCTGGATTCTATGTGTCTGAGAGGTCTTATCCATACCAATGTACATGCTCTGGTCTAGCCAGATTTGTAAGGTAGAACTGGGTCATGATAGTGGAGGTGGAGTGGGGAGGAAACATGAAAGAACTAGAGGAATGTTGTGTGTTTTGTTGGTGCCATACTACACCCTGGCTGACTCATCCCTTCCTTGTGACCCTTCTGTGAGGGAATGTCCAATTGTCTACAAATGGGCTTTGGGTCTCCACCTCCGACCCTCCTCATTCACATTGATTGTTTGTTTAGGAACTTCTGATGCTTGACACCTGATCCCGCTGACACCTGGTCATTACACAGGCTGGTGTGCTTCTTCCATTTGGGCTTTTTTGTTTCCCTGCTAGAAGGCCTCTTTTTTGAACTTCAAGCCAATGTGCTATATCTTCTTTTAGCTGAGCACCATCAGCTTTCTTCACTACATTTACTTATGTACCCATTTTGTCTTCAGTGATTGTGTTGGGCAAGTCAGCAATACAGAATGCCAGGATATTAGAACAAAGAGTTCTTGCTTTGAGGGAGAACTTGAGTGGAGGTCAATGGCCAATAATTACCAATGCATGCTAGATCAATTTCAGACTGAAAAAGTTGGTAGAATTCTTCCTTTTCTTTATCACTAGCTTTCATGTTTCACCCCCTTTTTTTTTCAGTGTGCCTTACTGTGGTGAGGCTGTGATGTTGCTGGAAGCCAGGTCACTGGTATTTCAAATGCCAGCAGGGTCACCCAAAGTGAACAGGTCTCAGTGGAACTTTCAGGCTAAGAACAGACTACAAAGGAGGAATTTTCTGTCCACTTTGTAGGAAGTAGCCACGAAAAACCTTATACATATATTTTAAATATTGTTCAGACACTGGAGGCATAATGAATGGAAGCAGAACTTTGTCTGAGCTAGTGCCGTAATATAGCCTGCCCAGGTGGGAAAGCATCTGGAATATTACTGAGGGGGAGTGAGTTCTCAAAGTAGAATGGACCCTGGTGATGAATGGAGTAGAGCCTGTGGGAGTGGAGACTTTGGTATCTTCATTTGCTAATGTGGCACAACTCAATATGAGAAGACACAGTTTCAAAAATCTAATCATCAGAAGTTTAAATGTACAAAGTATGAATCTTGGCAAGTTGGAAGTCATCAAAAATGAAGTGGAATGCATAAAGATCAATATCCTAAGCATTAATGAGCTTATATGGACTCATATTGGCCATTTTGAATCAGAAAATCCTGTGGTTTACTACATCAGGAATAACACAATGGGAAAATGCCATGGCATTCCTTGTGAAAAAGGACATGTCATATCTTGATGTACAATATTGTCTGTGATAGGATTATATCTATCTTCCTTCAAAGCAATCCAATGGGTACAATTATTACTCAAATTTATTCACCTACTGAGAAAACCAGTGATGAGGAAATTGAAGAATTCTATTAAAATCTTCATTCTGAAGTTGATCTAACATGAAATCATGATGCTTTGAAAATTATTGACATTGGAGTGCAAATGTTGGAAACAAAGAGGAAGGAACAGAAATGGGAAGGTACATCGATGAAATGATTCATTGCATTGAGTAAGTAAGCTGCACAAGACCTCTTCAGAGTGCTGGAAAGCAAGGATGCTACTTTGAGGAATAAGGTGCCCCTGACTCAAGACATGGTGTTTTCAATTGCCTCATATTGATGTGAAGATTAGACACTGAATAAGGAGGACTAAAGAAGAATGAATGCATTTGAATTGTGGTGCTGGAGAAGCATATTGAAAGTAGCATGGACTCCAAGACACACATCTGTCTTGGAAGAAGTACAGCTAGAATCTGCTTCAGCGGAAAGGATGTCGAAATTTCATCTGCC